TTGTTTTCATTGGGGGAAAGCTTTCTAGCACTCTGATTTGGCTCAAGGGTGTGAAAACGAAGCGCCAACAGATTTACAGATTCTACATGCAGGTGGTCCCTGTAACACACCATGGTGACAGCAAGCGATAGGACGGCTACCTACTGCTTTCGGACGAGCATCAGTCCTCTGTTTCTCTTCTTTAACGTATCCATCAATTCCCTTGTCGTGGGGCCTGATGGAGACGAAGGATGACTGTTAATTCAGCAGGCAAAGGAATTTGATCCTCTAGTGCTTGACTAATTACAGAGCTGAACTGTCGCAGGTCCGTTATTAGAGAGCGCCCCCATCTGCTGCACTGCTAACACTTAGGACCTCAATCACATTTTGCCAACCCCTGCACATTTTCCCCTCGAGCACATTTAAATGAATCTAAAGAGCTTTGGTGTGGGGGAATTCAATGCCCCATCCCAGTTTAGAAGTTATTGCCTAAGGGTGTACGCTCATACCTGGGTGAATGGGCTTCTGTGGCTTTTCCTGTGGCTGCTCAAGCACACACACAGCTTAATGGACTCTGTAATTAAAGTTATAAGATGGCGGCGCTGAGGAGGGCGCCCGTCTTGCCAGTTCCTACTCAACCTTTTTTATGGCTATTTTTGCGTTAATTATTACTTTGTTTGCTCAGAATGTTTGTGAAATAATTTCCTACGACGACAAACTCTTCTGGGTCATGAATCGGAAGCTACACACTTATCTCTCAGCCTCCCAGATCTGGAATACTACATTCACTCCTTTGTTCCCTGCACAGTGGGCCTACCTGTTGCGGCTGATCTAGATGACCGAAGGCAACGTCGGCGACGAAGGAAAGTGTGACTCCAAGCTATGCTGAAAGACTGGCGACAGCCTCATCTTCCTAGTATCCTGATGGCTAATGTCCAATCGCTGCAAAATAAACTTTGAACTCAGAGCAAGGCTTCAATCGCAGAGGGACATCAGGTAATGCTGTCTTTTGTTTTTACAGGACATGCATTCGACTCTGCTATTCAACCAGATGGCTTTTCCATTTTCCGTATGTATTGAACGGCGGCTTCCTCATCAACAATACCTGGTGTACCAAAGTTGAAAACATCTCTAGCTCCTGTTCACCCGACCTGGAGTTTCTGATGCTAAAATGCCTACCCTTCTATATGCCGAGTGAATTCACTTGTGTTATCACAGCCGTGTACATACCACCACAATTAAACATCAAGGTAGCACTCAACGAACTGTACAAGAACATTAGCCAGCAATAGTCCTCTCACCCGGAAGCAGTCTTTATTGTCGTGGGAGATTTTAACCAAGCATGTTTAAAACAAGTCTTCCAAAATATCACCAACATGTGTCCTGCCCCACGAGAGGAAACAACATGATGGACCATGTATACTGAACAAAAATATAAACGCAACATTCAACAATTTTACTGAGTTACATTTTCATATAAGGAAATCAGTCAATTGAAATAAATTCATTAGGCCCTAATCTATGGATTTCACATGACTGGGCACGGATGCAGCCGTTGGTGGGCCTGGGAGGGCATAGGCCCACCCACTTGGGAGACTGGCCCACCCACTGGGAACAAGGCCCAGCCAATCAGAATGGATTTCCCCCACAAAAGGGCTTTATTACAGACATAAATACTCTTCAGTTTCATCAGCTGTCCATGGCTGGTCTCAGACGATCCCGCAGGTGAAGAAGCCGGAAGTGGAGGTCCTGGGCTGGCGTGGTTACATGTGGTCTGCGGTTTTGAGGCCGCTTGGACGTACTGCCAAATTCTCTAAAATGACGTTGGAGGCGGTTTATGGTAGAGAAATTAACATTAAATTATCTGGCAATAGCTCTGGTGGACATTCCTGCAGTCAGCATGCCAATTGCACGCTCCCTCAAAACTTGAGACATCTGTGGCATTGTGTTGTGTGCACATTTTAGAGTGGCCTTTTATTGTCCCCAGCACAAAGTGCACCAGTGTAATGATCATGCAGTTTAATCAGCTTCTTGATATGCCACACCTGTCAGGTGGACGGATTATCTTGGCAAAGGAGAAATGCTCACTAACAGGGATGTAAGCAAATTTGTGCACTTTATGGAATATTTCTGGGATCTTTTTATTTCAGCTCATGAAACTTTATATGTTGTGTTTATATTTTTGTTCAGTATATATAGAATCATCCATGATGCTTACAAAGTCACCCCCCAGCCCCACTTCGGCCAATCGGATCACATCTCTGTTCCTACTCCCCGCCTAAAAGCAGCAACTCCGAGAATAGTGAGACGCTGGACAGAGGAGGCAGACTTGATGCTGCAGGACTGTTTTGATTGGAAATATTCATCCACCCAGAAATCATCCATCAACATTTAGGAATATACATCCTCAGTCACAGGCTTCATAAGGAAATGTGTTGATGATGTTGTACCCACAATAACAATCCGGACATACCCCAACCAAAAACCCTGGATGAACAGGGCTATCCGTACCATACTGAGAGCCCATACTGCAGCATTCAGTGTCCGCAGAATGAATCCTGATGACTCAGTGGCGCGACGTGTACAAGGCAAGGAGTTATGAGCGCCGAATATCCATTAGGGATGCAAAAAGACAATACATACTCGAACTTGAACTTGAACTCCGACTCAACGCATGTCGCAAGGACTACAGACTATCAGGGACTAGAAAGGCAAATCCAGCTGTGTGGTGCCCACCGAAGCCTCCCTCCCAGATGAGCTTAACACATTCTATGCTCATTTCAAGGCAGACAATACCAAGCTTCAATACCGAGCTAACCAGGAAGATTCTCGCTGCTCCGGACAATTAGGTGCTTTCGCTCTCCAAGTGAGTACTCACAAAGCCACCAGCCCAGATGGCATCCCTGGCCACATCCTCCGAGTGAGTGCTGACCAGCTGGCAGGTGTCTTCTCAGAAATCTTCAACCTGTCCCAGGCTGAAGTCCACCACCTGCTTCAAGAAGACCACCATCGGCCCAGTGCCCAAGAAAAACAAGGTGACATGCCCAAATGACTATCACCCGGTCACACTCACCCCAGTCATCATAAAGTGCTTTGAGTGGCTGGTCATGGCCAGCATGCCAGGCACACTGGACCCACTCCAATTTGCCTACCGCTCCAACAGATCCACGGAAGTTGCAATTTCTATCGCTATTTACATGGCCCTAACACATCTGAACAAGAGGAACACCTTTGTGAGGATCCTCACAACTGGACCCTGGACTTCCTGACGGGCAGACCACAGGTTGTGGCAACAACATTCCCCTCCACACTAACTCTTAACACAGGGTCCCCCCAGGGGTGTGTCCTTAGCCCTCTGCTGTACTCCCTGTTTACCCACGACTGGGTAAACGGGAGTTTGCTGACGACATCAAGTTTGCTGATGACTCCACGGTTCTAGGCCTGATAACCATCGACGACGAGTCAGCCTATAGGGAGGAGGTAAGTGAACTGGCATTGTGGTGCGAGGACAACAACCTCTCCCTCAATGTCAGCAAAACAAAGGAGTTGATTGATGACTTCAGGAAGTAGAGGAGGGAACATGCCCCGATCCACATAAACGGGACTGCAGTAGAGAGAGTTGGCAATTTTAAGTTCCTAGGCGTCCACATCACGAGGACTTGACATGGATCAACAACAGCACTACAAGGGGGCGCAACAGCGTCTCTACTTCCTAAAGCGGCTAAAGAAATTCGGCATGCCACCCCGGATCCTCTGCACCATCGAGAGCGTCCTGACCGGTTGTATCGCGGCCTGGTGTGGGAATTGCTCCGTCCAACCGACCGCAAGTCCCTCCAGCTGGTGGTGAAGATGGCCCAGTGCATCACTGGGACTGTGCTCCCACCCATCCAGGACATCTACTCAAAACGGTGCCTGAGCCATTTACTTTATGTTCGTATTCTTATTGTTGTTGCATTGTCAAGAAGGAACCTGCAAGTGAGAATTTCGTTGGATGGTGTATACCATGGGTATCCTGTACATACGACTAATAAAACATGAAACTTGTAATGATTATTTAGGTCCTCCTTGGAAACTCGCTCATCTCTCATTTGCAGGTTTTGTTTGGTTCTTTTTTGTGTGTTTGCACCAGCTGCAATTCCTGAAAAGGCCTGCATACTTATTATGTCAGAGGAAGAATGCTTAGTTATGTATAAGTAAAGGAAAATTAATACACCAAATCGTCACTGCAGTTTGGTAAAAGGCATGACCTAGTTTTATCATATGTGGGTGGGACTGGGAACCTCTTCTTAGACATGCAAAACTACATTTTGGCTGCAGGCAGCACCTGAATAAGAGTTCACATAATCCTGAGATTCAGTTTCCCTCCGTTTTCTACATTAGCTCTCCGCTTACGCCCCCAATTTAAACCAAAACTAAACTCTGCTATTGCCTTACTGACTTCCCTTCTCTAAATCCAGAGACATTATGGAAAGTCCAAAACCTTTGTTAAGTTGAAATTATGGAGGCTGTGATTTTGACCAGCCGATATCCATCTGGAAAGATGACCATGTGTTAACCCAGCTGGTCCTTTTATCTATGATTGTGTAATTTCATAATGGTTGTTTAGAGACAGAAAGTGCCCATCTTCCTGTGTTTCTCCACCAACATATGCAGTATTTGTGATTGTAAACCCTTCAGGTTAGGAATGGGCCTCTAGGGTCCTTGAGTGCAATCATTGGCTCATCAGTGCATCTGGAGATAAAATCAATGGCTCACGTGAAAGATGTGGTATGAGAAATGGGGCTCAGACACAACTGCCCCCTTCCCTCCCTTTCTCCCTTAAATTAGCCAGAAAATGGGCCCTCTTGATGTTATTGACCATTCTGTGTGAGTGGGTGTGCGTATGCATTTAGGCTGCAAGGTTTGTCTCACTAAGATAAAGCATTATTTTTCAAGAGTGACCTGTTTATAGCGAGAGAAATGACATGCATCCCAGTTTTGCCTTCAATTCACTAATGCCACACTGCTGTTTTTGTCCCCAGGTGGTGTCGGATGCTGCCGGACAAGGTGTCACCATCACTGGCAGCAAGACTTTCAACAACTGGAACTGGCCCAATGCTGTCATCTTCGCTGCTACTGTCATCACAACTATAGGTAGGCAAACTGTCCTGAGAGAGTCACATGGAGCTTATGTAATTGTGGTTTATAGTCAGCAGAAAAGGGAATATCTTAACTGATGCAACAAGACAGAAAATATCCATAAGTTATTGTGCAAGGATTTGTGGATCTTGTTTCATAATCTTTCAGTAATGACCTGCTAAACATTAATCTAATGGGACAATGGGACACTCTCAATTAGGGTGGATTGCTTGCCCTTTTGTCCATGTCTGTATAATCTAAATGTACGGTACAGATAAAATAGGATTGGGTGAAGAAAAGCCAGATTAGAGAACTGGTCTTTATTGTTGGTTTAGTTTGTCAGCAGAGTAATTTATCTTATTTTGTTACTCCGAATGCCAACAGGTTTCTTTCTGATGATTTGACATGTTTATTCAGCCTTACCAAGTCTCTATCATTTATCATTAGTGAAAATGATTTTATATAAACTGTGGTTATGAAAAGTGCTTTCTTTTGGCAGAATTTGTCCCCTATGATCTGTATTGGTCAAAACAAAGAAGTGTTAATGTTTTAATGCTGTTGATTTGAATACTACTATTAACCCCTTCCTATCCTTTCTTGCTCTGACAGGTTATGGCAACATTGCCCCCAAAACGTCAGCAGGACGGGTGTTCTGCATCTTCTATGGGCTCTTCGGGGTGCCACTCTGTCTTACCTGGATCAGTGAGCTTGGGAAGTTCTTTGGAGGCAGGGCCAAGCACCTGGGTCAGTACCTTACCAAGAGAGGGGTTTCGCTGGTAAGAAAGATACTTTTCGTCTAATATTTTTTCATCTAACATGGCTAACATTTCTTTGTCTAAGTTAAAATGATCAGAGGGAAATAAGTGAATTCCTTAGACACTGCATTTGTCTCACTTAACCTGTTTTTGCATTCTTTTTTGTTTTTCAGCGAAAGGCCCAGTTTACCTGCACAGCCATCTTTGTCCTATGGGGTGTGCTGGTCCATCTGGTCATCCCCCCATTTATATTTATGTCTCAAGAGGGTTGGACCTATGTGGAGGGCTTGTACTTTTCCTTTGTCACCTTAACCACGATTGGCTTTGGTGACCTTGTAGCAGGTAAACTCATCATCACCCTTGCATTATCAAGCTCTTCGCTTGTTAATGGGTATCTGTCTATGCATACATACTGTTAGTGATATTTTTGAGCCAACTTGAGGTACTTTTTATTTTCAACATACCTTTTTACCCACTATGGTAAAGTAGTTCTCCAGCAATAATGTAACCACTTCCTCAGAAATGTGCTTAAAGCAACTGTCAAGTGAAAATCTCACTTTTAAAAGTTAATATTCTGTTAATGTATACAAAAGATAATGTTGTTGACTTGTCCTATACTCATAATTGTGGCCAAAGCATAAATTGGACAAAAAAACACTTAAACCCCACCTCAAACTTGTATCTCAAACAGACCATTTAAGAAATGCTTGCTATTTCCTCATAGAGGAGGATTTCATCCTTCTGAGGAGGATGAGCTGGCCAGTCAGCGGTCTACTCGCATTAGGGCTGTCCCCGACAAAAAAAATATATTGGTCAAACGAGTGTCGTCTTTTCTTTCGACCAATCAGTTGGTCTACATTTTTAAACGTCTATTTTCCCATATATAGACACACCCTATGTGTTTGAATAAAATCAACTATACACTACATGACCAAAAGTATGTGCACACCTGCTCGTCAAACATCTCATTCCAAAATCATGGGCATTAATATGTTGTTGGTCCCTCCTTTGCTTCTATAACAGCTTTCACTCTTCTGGGAAGGCTTTCCACTAGATGTTGGAACATTGCTGCGGGGACTTGCTTCCATTCAGCCATAAGAGCATTAGTGAGGTCGGGCACTGATGTTGGGTGATTAGGTCGCAGTCGGCGTTCCAATTCATCCAAAAGGTGTTTGATGGGGTTGAGGTCAGGACTTTGTGCAGGCTGGTCAAGTTCTTCCACACCGATCTCGACAAACCATTTCTGTATGGACCTCGCTTTGTGCACAGGGGCATTGTCATGCTGAAACAGGAAAGGGCCTTCCTCAAACTGTTGCCACAAAGTTGGTAGCGTTCCCCTGGCATCCGCCAAACCCAGATTCGTCCGTTGGACTGCCAGATGGTGAAGCGTGATTAATCACTCCAAAGAACGCGTTTCCACTGCTCCAGAGTCCAATGGGTGCGAGCTTTACACCACTGCAGCCGACACTTGGCATTGCGCATAGTAATCTTAGGCTTGTGAGCAGTTGCAAACAGTTATTGTGCTGACGTTGCTTCCAGAGGCAGTTTGGAACTGTGTAATGAGTGTTGCAACCGAGGACAGACGATTTGTAGGCAATGTTTGTCTATGCAGATTGCATGGCTGTTTGCTCGATTTTATACACCTGTCAGCAATGGGTGTGGCTGAAAAGCTGAATCCACTCATTTGAAGGGGTGTCCACATACATTTGTATATATAAATGACTCAGGAGGGAGGCAGAGATCAAGATAGCCTAACCAGAATAAAATAAAATAAATTCCCCATCCCTCCTCCCGCTGCTGCTGGCCTTTGCAGACTCTGCAGTTATGCTCCTGAAGTTTCCGGTAATAGGCTACACCAGGGTTTGACAACCATTTCCATTTGGAGTGCCAATTTATCTTACCATTTTACTGATCTACGTGCCAGTTATGATTTTTATATACACATTTTTGTGGAACAGTTTAATTTATTTTATAATAGTCTTTGGATGTCAAAATCATTTTCATGTGGTTAATTTCAATTCTATCTAAATCTATCAAAACAATGAAATAACACAAATGGAATCATGTAGTAAACAAAAGTGTTAAACAAATCAAAATATATTTGATATTTGAGATTTTTCAAAGTAGCCACCCTTTGCCGTGATGACAGCTTTGCACACTCTTGGCATTCTCTCAACCAGCTTCACCCGGAATGCTTTTCCAACAATCTTGAAGGAGTTCCCACATATGCTGAGCACTTGTTGGCTGCTTTTCCTTCATCTAATCTAACATTTGATACTGCAGTGCTTTTAGTCATCAAGTTGACATTTTGATAATAGCCCTAATTATAACTTAAATGATTTACTGTATGAAATTGATTGCTAATGACATTGTCTAAACAAATCTTTCCAAAAAAGTAAAAGACGTACCTCTAGAAAAATTTGACATTGACATTAGGACATTTGTACATTCTCAAACTTTCCCTTCCTGCTTTTCTTTATTCAGGCGTGGATCCAAATGCAGACTACCCCACTCTGTACCGTTACTTTGTGGAGGTGTGGATTTACCTGGGACTGGCCTGGCTCTCCCTGTTTTTCAACTGGAAGGTGCGCATGGTTGTGGAGGCCCATAAGGCTCTGAAGAAACGACGCAAGCGGCGCAAGCTCTCCCTGGACGAGCTGAGGCACTACAAGGAGAGCCACAAGGCCCTCCACTCGCCGCCCACCAATGACGTCAACATCTTCAGCTTCCTATCCAAGAAGCAAGAGGGCTACAACGACCTCATCAAGCAGATTGGCGCCAAGAAAGATGGCGGGGACCACTGCGACGGTAATGCCGCCAGCAACAAGGCCAAGGAGGCGAATCGCTCCAAGAGCTGCAGCGACACAGTTTCCTGCAACAGCAACACTATCCTCAGCCTGGACCGCTCACCGCGGCAGAAGCGGCGCTACAGCTTCAGTGACCGTGTCACCGTGGCCTTCTCGAAGTCCAAGAACTACCTCCTGGGCTCGGAGAACGGGATGCTGCTCACAGAGGACCATGGGGAGGGGGAATTGGACGGGGACCAGGAAAGGATGTACGAGAATCAACTGGACAAAGAGGTGGACCAGGAGAGCGGAGGAGGTGGCCTGGGCGGTGGTGGAGGTTGCGGTATGGGCGGCCGACGACTGTGGGACTCCAAAGAGTACCAGTCCCTGATCTTCCAGAATGCGAACATCACTTTTATTGATGAGGAGAACGTCCTCAACAACAACCTGGAGGATGATGATGACGACGCTAAAGCCAAGCTGTCAATCACCACGTGCGATGAAAATGTAGAGTCGGAGACTGACTCCAAAGAGGAGCAGGGCTCTGAATCAGAAGGGTCCGTGTTCACCAGCGATGGATCAGAACACGGACACTCTTATGAGAAGCTTGTGGAGGAATATTCGAAGGAGGACAACACTGAGTCCTGAGGAACTGAACTGGACTTGTAATGATCCATCCTTTGAATATATATATATATATTTTAACAATTTCAGGCATAGCCACATTCTCGTTAAACTTGGATCTAATGAAGGAGAAATCTTTTAATATTCCATTTAAATCAAAGACTGTGAAATGAACATTTACAGGTTTTTTCAATCACTTTGGTGCATTTCTTCAGATGTAAGTGGTATACTTTTCAAAACTCTAAGCACAAAACTTGAAACTGATAACACTTTTAATGCCTATGTCTTATGTTCAAAACCTTTCATTGGAGTTGAACACATCTTTCATCTCCTAGTCCTGGAGTCTTTCATGGAATTTTTTCTCAAATACCATGAGAACATTTTGTTTAGTCACCAATCCATCAGATAATAACAGGCTCACCGTTTCGTCATTTTAACTAACATTTAATCCAATAGCAAAAAATACATTATACCATTTTCAAAACTGATATTTTTGAAGTGCTGAATCGAAGGAATAATAATAGTAATAATAATAGTACATGCGAAGAACAAATCATCAAAAATGGGAGCATTGAGGCAAGTATTGTAAAGCAGTAGGCTACAATAAACAAGTATTGGTGTTACAGGTTGTCTGCATGCCATTTCTGCCCCATGCAACATTGTCCAAGATCACCTTTTTTATGTGACTTTTCAACTGATAAATTATTGCCTGTCTCTCTGCTTAAAAAAATGTATCAGTTTGTCAATGAAATTCAGATTATGGGTGGAATTGTGTAATAGTGTATACAACCCAGGTATTTCAGCAGTACATGGTACACTACACCATAATTCCAAATGGTAGCACATAGTGACTGCCTTCCACTTTTTCTTATTGAAGAACACTGGCTGATGGAGGATGTCAATGTAGTAACTAAGCACTATACAATTTTGTTTCAGTAGTTTTCAGTTTTGAGCATGTTAAATGACAGGAAAATCATATGAAAAGTAATGAAAAGCAGATACTTGTAGTGGACAAGTGACTGTGAATTTGTTTGTAAATGCACTTAGTTTTGAAACATGAGCCATTTTGATGATCTGTTTCGATTATTGTGCTAAGAATTGTGAAAGTATACTACACATACTTTTGAAAATTGCACCAAAGTGATTGAAAAAAACTTCCCTCAATCGATCAAATAATGTGCCAAATTTACGTGGACTTGCATAAAGAGGTGTATGACCTCTGGTTGGTTGAGTGTCTGTACTATGAACATTGAGTTTATGAACTTAACTCCTTGTTGGTTATAGACTAAATGGAGTGACACCTATGGACTTATAGATAAAGTTGTCCTACTGTTTTCAGAAGATATGGTTGTTTAACATTTGTTTGAAACAGGCTTGAGTTTTTCAATCAATTTGAGATGATGCCTTGCTCAAAAGTTAATAGGAAATGGTAGGGGGGGAATACATTTTCTCAGGATTGCTCCTGGCTTCCTTGATTTTATATTCACCATATTGGTGTTTTTTTGTAATATTTATACAATGAAGGAAAAAGCAGCCCTTTTGTTAAAGGGGCAATCCACAGTTGCTACATTAATTTTGGGGCTTATACATTAATAATATACACTGAGTGTACAAAACATTAGGAACACCTTAATATTGAGTTAGCACCCACTTTTACCCTTTAGAACAGCTTCTATTCGTCGGGGCATGGACTACAAGGTGTTGAAAGCATTCCACAGGGATGCTGGCCCATGTTGACGCCAATGCTTCCCACAGTTGTGTCAAGTTTGCTGGATGTCCTTTGGGTGGTGGACCATTCTTGATCCACACGGGAAACTGTTGCGCATGAAACCCAGCAGCGTTGCAGTTCTTGACACACTCAAACTGGTGTGCCTAGCACCTACTACCATACCCTGTTCAAAGGCACTTCAATATTTTGTCTTGCCCATTCATCCTCTGAATGGCACACATACACACAATCCATGTCTCAATTGTCTCGAGGCTTAAAACGCCTTCTTTAACGTGTGTCTACGCTGATTTAACAGGGCACCTCAATAAGGGATCATAGCTTTCACCTGGATTCACCTGGTCAGTCTGTCATGGAAAGAGCATGTTTTGTACACAGTGTATACCCATTGATTCTTGAAAGAATATAACTATAACAGCTGTCATACCCCATCACTAACTTGTTTTACTCCAGTGTTTGTAAACAACAAATGTAAACAAACACTTTAGCCTCAAAACATGGTTAAAACTATGTTATATCATGGATTGTTCGTCCTTGTATCCATAGCTCTGTCTGTGAATTTAAGAGTGGTTACATTTCTACAGCCCCCTCCCTCAGCTTTTTTCCAAAACAGTGGTGGGTTGACCGTTTTTATAACTATTTCAATTGTGGATTGGCCCCCTTTAATGGCATACTGGCGTAAATGTCTCTCATTGCACAATTTCATCAACTGATGAGTGCAGTATAAAAATCAATTTCAATGCAGATGAATGTTGACCACCTGAGCCAAGCCCTTGTCCTTGAAGAGGTTGAGTGGGTTATCGTGCAATTTTCCCTCTCCCTTTGTTTTCTTATCATTTCTTTTGTTTCACTAAGTGAAAGGGATTAGTGTTCCATTAGACATTTCAAAAAATCCTGTCCATAAGTGCCCCCCTTCGTTTTATTCATGCGACGCGTTCTCACGCGATAGTTCTGCACCACGGCACAGAACCACCTTTGTGAGTTTAGAGTCTGGTTTCCTAGTGTACGTTATTTTAACTTTTTTGTCTCTCACTTTGTCTCATGGCTTCTTCTCTCTTATTCTTTTGTTTAAATTTTATGGTCCCTTGCCTCTTTTGAATGTTGAATCTGCTCATTTGAAACGGTCTTCGTAAGGAATTTCTCCAGTCACAATATTCCTTTTCTCACATAATCTCTCCTCCCATTTTATTTACCGTTTCCCTTTTGAGAGAGCTTTTGTATTTGCCATGTAAACATTGGAAAAGTGCCCGACAGTAGCCACACACTCTTCTTTGTTCAGGACATGGCCTTGCTGCCTGTATTTACTCTTGGGGGCTCGTGCTGGTGTGAATGCCTGAAACGTAACTCAGGTGGGCGGTCAAGGTTAACATGTGACAGCGTAATGCATAAGGTTAGTCATGAGACAAGAAGGCAGCAATGTCAGTGTTCACTGTTGTTTTCCTCCGTGTTCATCCACAGCAATTGCCCCCCCGCCCGCACAAAAACCTTACTCTGCATATTAGATAAGTGTTGTGCAATATTAACAATGCCCAAACCATTTACTCACAACTAGTGTTTTTCTCCCCTTCCTAGAAGATCAATCATACTGTAAGACTAATTCAGTTGAGTCTGACATGTCTTGTTAGTGGACAGATACCTTTTGTCTTGTTATTTGCCTGCTATCCATATTGAATCCACCACTCCTCTACATTCGGACTCTTGACTGTTGTTTCCAATGTGCTGAATACAGCATGGATCCGATATGGATACCAGGTGACCTTGTTAGTGCATATCTGTAAAAAATCGGAACTAGTTGCTAATATGGCCCCAGTTGTATTACAACTGTGTTCATGAGCATAAGCGCTTAATGCTCCACGGCTATGTGTTAGAGTAATCTTTTGATCAAAAATTATAAACTGATTACATTATATTAGTGTTTCTTTTAGAGTGCGTACATTTTGTGTGCACCGACACCTGATGTAAATGTCCTAATTCATCACACTTTCACCATCTCCAGTAAAATGGTACATTATATTCACATCTTGCTATAGAGCAGATATGTGAAATACTGGAGAACGGTTAGTGTGTTCCAGAAAATTGTCCAACTGCCTGTTAGATTTGAACTCTGTACTCGTTCTGAGGCTACACCAGTTGCAAATGGTTTCACCAGACCACTTGAGTGCAGCATTGTTTAAATGCAGCTACGGTACTTTTCTAGATTCTGATTAAATTAAACCGTTTAAACTGTTCCAACATTATCATCGAAGAACAAGTTATGTTGGTTGGACTATGTCTTAAGTTTTCTCCTGTCATTGCTCCATTTGTGTAAAATTTACTCCAGCATCTTTTGTCGTTTTTATTATTAAATTATTGACATTTCTATGATTGTTTTGTACATAAAATCACAGTAAAACTGTATATATTTTATTTCATTTTAAATAAACACATTTATAAAGAACTGAAGTGTTAACTTTTTTCTTCACATCTAGTCAAATCAAGCACTGATTTTGACAGTAAAACAAAAATCAAAATAGCACCCTCTACTGTCATAATGTGTCAAATACAGTGCCGTCAGAGCAGGCTAACCTCTCCATAACACAGGATCATAATTTCCCCTCTTTCAATCAAGGAGTTAAATGAACCGGTGCGAGTAGTTACTTACTCCAGGATGACTTTTAATATTACTTGCTAGTGCTACTCCTCACACAGGGTATGGCAAAGGTACCTGATATGGAAAATCATGGCTCATCATGGGTCCTTTCCTACAAATGTATGGTCTTAGGACTCTTTCACACTGAGCAACACAGCGTAAAATGATGGAGACAATTCAATGTATTTCAATGGTGAAGGTGCGACGGGGTTGGCGCATCAGTTGCGTGAGGTTGCCCTAAACAATGCACCACCAACACGCCCTCAAAAGATGGTGCATACTCATCTGTTAGCTTTGCATGGAAAGCATCGCCAGTGTGTAAGAGGCCTTACTCAGTCGATGAAGTTGAAGATCTGATAATCTATTTAAAATGGACATGCAGTAGAGAACATTAATTACTACTTATTCTGCTTAAAGGTCGACTTTGGGTTAAACACGCAAAAATAACGTCTTTAAACGTAATAACTGATCAATGCACCATCATACCAGGTCATTTAATGCTTTAAGAAAATTATGAATAAGATATTTGGCTACATACGATAATTGGCTTCCGTCCAAAAACAAATCCTGTGAAATGACGTCAACACATTAAATCCAATTTTATTCATCACATGCTTCGTAAACAACAGGTTTAGACTAACAGTGAAATGCTTACTTACGGCCCTTCCC